CATGCCAAGGCTTAAAGCAGCAACAACGCTACATATAAAAACTGATGATGGTGGAAAAATACACCGAAACGTATTTTGATTAATAAATAGAGACAATAAATGACTGAAACCCAGGAACAGATTTGATTTTGAATTGAAACACAGCCAGGAAAGTATATACAATGAAGTAATAATATAATTTGATATTTATCAACCCAAAACTTGTTTCGAGAGAATGTGAAATGCATACGCAAAATAAAGTACACGTTTCGGGAGTGCTTTTTTCAGGCCCAACCCCAGCGAAGGCGAGCTAATTGGCTCGAAATCGGCGGAGGGTGCCTGAGATTAGCACGTCTCCGATCTGTGCCCACTTTCATCTGCAACCTTTCACGGTCGAATTGTCTTCAGTGGCGCATTTTAAAACTGGGGCGAGCCCTTGCGCTTAGGTGTGAATATTTTTCAAGTTTATGGACGCCCCAAAATCCCCTCAAGTGGCGGCAATTTAATTAAATCAATTGGCTCCGCTCTAGTTAGTTGTCACCATGGGGCTCCCTACGCCGTTGTACGATTTAAAAGACTTTCCTGATGTGTATGAACCCAGTGAGGATTCCCATTTGTTCTTGGACGCTCTGGAGGCGGACCAGGAGTCTATTCTAGCCAGAAGCCCCAAATTGGCGTGCGAGATCGGAAGCGGAAGCGGCATCCTCATCACCGGCTTGGCACAGCTTCTAAAAAACTCTTGTGCCTACTTTAGCACCGACATTAACTTCAGCGCCTGTCGAGCAACAGCAAAAACCGCCCTTATAAACAACAGCTACGTAGAAAGCGTCGCGATGGACCTGCTGGGGATGTTTCGAAGTCCATTCGATGTGATCCTGTTTAACCCTCCTTATGTGGTGACTGAGTCCGACGAAATAATGGGGCGCGGGCTTGATAGAGCCTATGCAGGTGGTTGTGGTGGACGAGAAATTATCGACAAGTTCCTGGCCACGCTGCCCAGTATGTTAAGTGAAAATGGCGTCTGTTACTTGCTGTTGCTCAAGGAAAACAACGTGGAAGATATAAAGGAAAAAATCCGAGGCTTGGGCCTGAAGGGCCGGATGGTGTTGGAGAGGAAGATCCCTGGGGAGCATTTGTTTGTTTTTAAGTACTTTCGGTGATCAATATACGTGCTTTGGTACAAAATCCCGCAGATTTTAATACAGCTAATCACCACAAATCAATACAGGGCATTCGCTTCAATCTACTTACTCCTTTTCACACTTAACCAGCGTCAACTTCGTATCATTAACGTCTTGAGATATTCCCATGCAGCACCAAATAAATTAAACAGTCAAATGATTCTTATAGATATCATCCCAGATGTCCATGCGGTCGCCATCCACGTTCTCGATCATGTTCAGTTTGTGTCCAATGTCGAGGAATTCAACGTTTTCGTGTGAGACCGGTTTCCATTTGACGTGGTCCAGAGCTTCGTCGTGATGGGGTGTGGGTTCGCCGTGGATGGCGAAGTTCGTCCACATCTTGACAAACCGCTGAATATATCGGTCCTCCGTACTTCCACGTTGAATTGGCGGCGTGAAGAAGGTGGGAAAGAGGTAAAGCAAATCGTCGGCGTGCACCACTCCGTTCATTTCCCGTTTCGGCACTTTGTTCAGCATATTTAAAACGGACTCTTTTGCCGAAGGCAAGAATTTTACTGACGCCATACTCAGAAGGCTACAGAACATCGTCGTCTTGAAATGCTTGGTCATGGCAAAGGTGTGGAAATAGTTCAGTGAGGAAACCAGCGACATTCTGTAAGCGTAGACTGGCTGGTGGGAGTGTTTGGCTTGCAGTTTCAGCGTTCTTTGAATAGGGTGAATAAAACATGTGTCTCCTTTCAACTGCAACGAAAATCCAGTTGATTCATTGGTTGATTAACTGATTGATTGTTTTTACCTTGTACATTTGATCGATATCCTCATGGCACTCCTTGTCTCCAAAGTAGGCCTTCTTCAGGCGCTCGGCCATTTGCTTGGACCGTTCGCTTCCCTTGACCAAACCGAGCTCATACGGGATTTCATGCTCCAGATGCTTGGGAATGCCAACCCCTGGCACCGTTCTTCTCACCAGCTCAAAGAAAATCCCTTCGCCGGAATTGTATCCAATAATTAAGGGGATTTTGTGGCCCCCTTGAGATTGCATGATTTTGCTCGGATGTTCCGTGAGGATCGCGTCGGGAGACTCCGGCTCCACTACTGGGCCCCAGGGCCGAATTTTGCCAGAGGCAAACACCTAGAGAAACACAATTTGTTATCAACTTGCAGCGTTAATGCATTTCTTGGACAGGTTCAACTCATGAAGGAACAAATCTGAAGACTTCAAGACGCTGAAAGTTCCATACGAGTCCTGCTTTTGCCTGCTTGGTAAAAATCGGTCTAATTATGGTTGTTTATGGACTCAACTGCGTTCTCTCTAAAAAAAATAATTTCTTCGAAACTAACACAATTAGGAATTTGAACTTTTCGCGATCTTTACAAAGGTGCGGAACGTTTCATACATTTCATGTTTGCCAGCTTGGTAAAAATGGGTCTGATATGGTTTTCTCTCCTTTAAAAAATCGTGTCTTCCGAACTAACCAGTAGAAATTTGATAATTTCACAATCTTTAGAGCTTTGACTGAAAAGCTGTTGAAATGGGTCGCCTTTTGTGTGCGAATGCTCGGTCATATTCTACTTCAGAAATTAATTGAGGTGTTTGTCTCGCTCTTGAAGCAGTGGTCGTACCAATAGTCTAGTTTTGGTCGTCAAAGTTGGGAATAGTGGAAGATGGAAAAGCACGCTGAAAGCGTGTATCGATTTGTACCGCTTTCATTTATTATACCACTGTTGTTCCCATTTTGCATTGATTTTCATGTTGAAACTGACGCTCGTTACTTGCCTCTTTCAGCTTCCGTTGCGACTGAACAATTGCCTTTGCCGATTCTTTCCTCAGTTTCTCCACGATCTTGTTCTCCTCGGTTTCCTTATAGCCCAGACATTTGGCGATTTCCGGCGCATTGTTTTTGCCCCAGGACCAGTTGTTCAAGGCGCTGCCACTTTGCACTATTGCCTTATGGAACAGCCCTAAAAGGCTCAGAGAGTTATTTGAAATTTCCTTGTTCAAAAGGTGTTTACCTTGAGTGCTGGGCGCTAAAGTGAGATAATGCACCGAAGCCCCGCCAGCGCTCTCGCCAAAGATTGTCACGTTATCCGGATCGCCACCGAACTTTCCCACGTTCTTCTGCACCCATCTTAAGGCCTCGCGCATATCCTTCAGGCCGGCGTTTCCAGGGATCCCCAGGCTTGGATCTTTGAAGCTGGCAAATCCTGGAAATTCATTCTTTTGTAGTTTTTTTGGGGAGACTAGCGAGTTTTTGATGACCTACCTAGGATGCCCAGTCGGTAATTGATGGCGACTAAGACAATGTCTTGGGTCATTAAGTATTCGGGCCCGTACATGAAGCTTCTGTTCGAGCCGCACGTGAAAGCGCCTCCGTGAATCCACACCATTACGGCCTTCTTCACCGGCTTGTCCTCTTTGGGCAACTAAATCGTTCCTCTGTTAGGCGCCAACATCCCAATCCTCTTATTCTAGCACTTACTTCTTTGGTGTAAACGTTCAAGTTCAAGCAGTTATCCTCCTGGCCAACGTAGAAGCTGAAGAACATGTCGGCTGATGGGCATTCGGCCCCTTCTTTGGTCGCATTTTTCACACCGGTCCAGGGCTCTGGAGGCTGCGGGGCCTGATTTCAACAGACATTTATTTTTATTAATACAATGCGTCATACGATTTGTAATAGCTTCAATGGTTCATCCATGTCAGAGATCTGTGATTGTTTATTAGCAACAATTGCGTTTTAGATGTGTCACAAGCATTTCACAAAGAACTATCATGGAAAACATGTGAAAATGAGTCACAAAGTTCGGGGTCGCAATGTGCGGATACGATTCGTTGCTTTAACTGCGCTTTTGTGCTGGTGAAGAAGCTGATTTTTTCCGAAACAAAGTTCAGTTGCGATTATCTGGTCAAACACTGGCCAATTAAAATTATATTCGTACAAACAAAGTGCCTCTTTTTCTTCAGGTTCGCGATTGCATTAATTCCTAATCTCTAAATAGATTGGAGCGTCCGAGAAGTTTAAAATAGCCGATGTCTTCGAAATAGTGAATTAGTTGTGCGGGCCCTTTCGACAGCCCTAATCTAGAACTGACTTTATCCAGATATTTTATATATTTTATAAATAAAACCAGAAAGACGAGCGTCTTTTTTATCCAACGTCTCGAGAACTGCACATATTTCGTGTGTTATCGGAAATTGCAACATTCGTCCCTCGGCCTCTTCAGCCTCACGCGAACAGGTTTTTTTTTAATTAGGTTCAACCAGAATTTCCCGGCTGTTTTAACAGTAGAAGCAAAAAAGTCACATTTTCCCAGTGTATGCAAGTTCGAAAGCTTAAATCCCGGACATTTCTAGTCATAATGACTTTTTGGATAGAGTATTTTAAAAACTTGAACTTGCGCGTCCCAAGTTTACCAGCTTTTCCTCTGCGTCATGCTCTCAGCGCTTTGAAAAAATAATCAGCTTTTGCTTTGTGTTATAATTTGGAGCAAAAGTTTCCGAAATTATCTCGAAAACAAGTGTGAATCTGTTCGTCAATTTTTAAATAATTGTTCCTCGCGAACCGCGTGGGATCGCTTTCGCTACAAAGTAGATGCTCTCAGCGCGTGTTGAAGTAACAAAGTTTTAATCAAATACAGATAATAATTGAAAGATTTGCTTTTTTTTGGACCAGAAAAGATCGACATCATTGTTATAACGATTAGGATGCCTTGAAACAAATGTATACAGGGTGTCCCTTCCAGTGAGGCTATGAATTGAATTAATAGACGAAAGAACAAAGAATCAGAAATTTTTCGGTGTTGTGTCGGTTTAGGGAACAAAACTGCCCATGAAATAATCATTGCGCCTGCATGCAAATCCGTCGCCGGTTAAGAGTTAGGAATGATTTCTGAATCACCCTGTAAAGCGCCACAGTTGCTTAAATATGCAAAGGCGTTCCTTGCAGTATCATGCGAACATTTAAGGGAGTGTTTCTACATGGAAAATACGGTTTACTTTTGTACATTTGCGTTTTTCGCGGAGCCTTTCTGGTCGCTGTCTTGGCGGGTTCAAACTGTTCGAGTTTTTGTAGTTTTGCCAAAACTCAGCCAGTTTTTTTGCTAGCAAACTGCAATTAAAGTGAATCTAGTGCGCAAAAATGTTGACCATTTTACTGGATTGGCAATGAAACAAATTTTGTTGTTTACATTGAAATTTCCAAAAGATCGGCTACTTTTTCAAAAATTTCATTGAATTTCCTCGCTGGCTGGGTTCCAAATTGCCAAGTTGGAAATACGTTGTTTTAACTCACTTCTCCAGCTGATTCTCATCCTGAATGATAACAATTGACGTTGAAAATCCGGCGCGTATTTGCATAAAAATTAACACATTCTTGCGCAACAATATCATGCTGATAAATACGCATGAAACCATTTACCAACATCTATTAAAAAATCATTAAGAGCGATAAGGAGCGCCATATTCAATTGTTCAAGTGTTGCAAATTCGAACACTTATTTTCACAAAACAAAATTTATCAATTGTATGACTGTAACTCGCGCGAAAGTAAACAGCTAGGAATTTGAAAAGCGTCTTTTTACTTAAATTGATTGCTTTGTGACTGATTTGGTAATCCAAAATGAACGATTAATAACGTCGGTTATTTAGATTTTGCTCCTTAAAATTGAACTTTGTTGATAACACAGCCTGACGATTTTGCCATTTTAATCGCTCATTGTCTGCCGTTTTTTGCTCAAATATTTTTTCCAAAAACGCAACATCGCCGATTACTAATACTAATTAACACTTGAATGTTGTCCCTGGCATGACGACCTTAGTAATTACATGCAATTTGCCCATTACGAATGTACAAGGTGGTCTGCTTTAGCTCAAACTATACAAGGTGTCCCATCAAAAGGAAACTTGCTTACGCTATGAAATCTTATAGCAACGGAAAGACATGTTTATTTCTCTACTTTGACTTAGGGACACCCTATAGATTTTTAAACCATCAACTTCAAGAGTTTACCGATCTTCAGATAACTGCGTTTTGCTATGGAACCAAAAAATTGAAACGAATTTTCAAATCGTTTCCTCCTGAGTTAGTCGCGAATAAAGTGGACCACCCTGCAGTGAGTTGGCCATGAGTTGCCAATTAGCCAGATTGATGGAAAATAGCAAACTGACTATTATTAATTAGTGCATGACCTGACTAATTCGTATGTTTGCATCCCCACTGCGCTCCTAATGTGTACTCGCAAAGTCAATCGGGAAAAGTATTGATTCTGAATTATCCTGGCCAGGGTCGCGTGCGTTTTGTAAACTTATAACACATAACACACAGCTAACTGTGTTATTTATAACTCTGCGGTGTGTCAAATTGCCATGCTTACATACTTTAGAGGTAAATATTTGTGCCACTGTGTACACTATGTAAGGGGAGCGCTGCGTAATCGGGCCCAAGAGAATGAACGACTAATAAGAAAAATGAAGAGCGACGAAAAAGCGCTCGAAGTGCGAAAAACTGAAAGACAGTGGACAAACCAGCACTCGATTGACCATATAAAATCTTATTAAATGCCCACTTACTGACTGTTATTAGCCCATTTATGCATGTTGAGTTGCACACTAATTGAGCAAATTACTCGAAAATAGCGCCCAATTAAAATCAATTGGTTAATCCGCGGGTCATTGAAATCTACACTGTTCACTTTTCGAATGTTTTACCTTAAATCTGAGATCTCCGATCGGGGCCTTCGCATAGGGGACGCCCAGAAACTTGAAAAACTTTCCCCCATAATAATCGTGGCCGGTTGTTCCCTGCAATTTGCCCTGTTCGACTTCGACTAAAACATCAGCCATATTCTTCGAAGATAAACAATTGAAATAGAAAACGAAACAAACGCTACGCGATCACAGCCGCGATGTTTATATACTGTTCAAAAATAGTCGGAAAAGTTGGGATTATCCCGCGTAATTTGCAACCTTTTCGTGTCGCCGTCAAGCCTGCACTGTATTTAATTTTATTCGGCCGCCGTGCTTTATGTTACCTTGTACAGGGTGGCTCCAGCTACAAAATGAGTTTCCTGTTTTCATAGAATCTGCGCTCTAGTCAACACTACTACACATTGTGTTTTGTTTGCAATCTGTTATTGGCTTCATTCGGTTCACTTTTGCGCGCTTGTTACATTCAGAGAGAGTTTTTTTGAAAAAGCGGATGAGAACTCATTCTCACTGAAGCTTCTGATCACCAGCGAGATATAAATCAATATATTAATTCTTTGAACTCTCGCGAAAATAAGAGAGCCTATTTGGACAGAAAGGAAGAGAAGAAGAAAGAAACTCTTCAAAGTCGTTCAATCTAAGTCCTGCAAAAACACCACTAGCAAGAATAAAAAATATGCGTTGCATTTTCCAAAATATCTACGTGTGCAGTCAAGTTATCAGCATTGAAAACAACAATTTTCTTCATTGCCAATCAGTAAATATGTTATTAAGAAGCTACAAATTGACGGAATTTAGGTATAATTAGACTGGCAGTGGTTACGATTTTGTGTTTTCCCGTGAGGTTTTGCCATTACATAATTTGCCCGCTTATAGACTAATTATTTAATAAGTATGCGGCGAGCTCATGGCATCGACCATCCATCAATGTATGCATTCAATAAACTCGATTAAGTTGGAGTGGGTTTGCTTGACGAATTCACAAATCAACGCCACTCACAATCACAATCGCGAGATTGAGCTGAAGTGTTTTGCTTTGTTTTCCAATGATATTCGAGAAGTCTGTTTTTGTTCAGCTGACGAAAGAGCCTTTTGTTTGCCAAACTCTATAGAAATGGGCACTTTTTTAAGCGCAGAAGATGCGGAGTAGTTCTCGTCACCGTTATCGAAAACTGTAAAATCAAATTAATCAGATTATTTCGAGTAGTTCCGGCTTGAGTTTTATCTATTTTAATGGCACAATTAGATAGAATTTAGAAGTGTATTCACTTGAAAGTAGATTAGTAGTGTTAGACAAAATGGCGAATGCGCCTACATGCTAGAAAAATTTCCTTATAACCCAACAAGCAATTGGCGCAATCTCGTTTGTTTGTAGATTTCCTGACTAGGGCGACTAAACTCAGCTTTAAAGCTCTTCACCATTGTCAACAGATTTTTGAGAAATTCATATGGTTGTCTGCAAATAAAAAAACTAGTTAGACATTTAGAACTGGTTTTTTTGCTGATATCTGATGAATCTATGAAACGCACCAATTGCTGGAAAAACAGAGTTTTAAAGCAACAAAAATGCTCTTAAACGTGGTTGTGAGATTAAAATCATTCGACTGAAGACCAAGAAAAATTAAGAAATTAAAGCATTCATGCATTGCAAATGTTTATGGTTCTTTTATTCTTTGCCTTATTAAACTCAAGTGCCGTGGGTTTTTAGCATTGATTGCTTCTCTAGGTGAGTTGCAAGGATTCTTATCTAACCCTCATGGTCCAAACTTGCAGGCAGTTCGACTATTGGCGCTAGAGAATATTCAATGAAAACTATGAAGCCTCTAGAGGAGCACTTGCATCTTGGAACATTTGTTTTCGCTAAATGTTATTATCAGTAACAGACTGAAGGATTTGTAGAAGAAGAATTCAAGAACCTTTAAAAGTTGCCACAAGTTTCATCAAATCCTCATTTCTGCGCGCTTTGTAAACGTTTGTCTGTAAGTGAACAGTTTCGCGATTCCAGTTTCCAATCTAGAACCAGCAGGAGGTTCAAAGGTTCGCATTCTTTAGAAGACACTTGAATCTAAAAACTCTGAAAAATGATCACTCACGAAACAAAAGGAATAATTTTCTGGGGAAATTTGCGTTAAAATTATGGAATTCTGATATTGTAGAAAATGTGAATTCGGACTGTGTGGTTTATTTTCCTGAACGGCACGGTTGTTGTGCTTAGATGAAGATGGAAGCAAGTACCTAATGAATGTTTCTTCGAAGTTTTTGTAGTTATCACGTAAGTGTGAACATCGAGGAACAAATGAAACATCATCTTTCCATCTATCTTCTAACTTTCCAACCATCCAACAAACCACCAGATATCGACAAGGGAAAGAAAATTGCCTAAAAATAGAAAAATAATTAGAATAAAATATTATAAATCGATTGACAATATTGGTCTATCTGTAAATGCGATTATTTATCCATAATCATCGATATATTATTATTTATCCAATCGCACCCGTTAACACACATTTTTATAAATCCATTAAAAACTCGTTAAGTGCACAGGGAAGCAAAAATGTTTCGAAATAAAACCTTCAATTTGTAAGGAAATATTTGCTTGAAGATGGGTATTTGCGAATTTTGATCAAAACGCTTGGGTTGTTCTTGACTCCCGGTCAGAGTTGAGAGTCGTTTTGCAGTATTTATAAACGTGGCGCAAAAATCAGGATTTTGTGCAATTTGATGATTTTTTCTCGACGAGTCTGCACTTGTCTAAAAATATTCATTTCCAGACTGAAGGAACTGTTGAGGGTGTTTCGATTCGCCAGTCTTCTATAGACATTAAACCTTTCAACTTCCTACTGGCATCAGTTTGAATTTTTGATTTCAGAGTCATCAGATAGCCACTTTCAAGTGGCTCCTTGATGCTCCACAAACCTATTTTTCAAGCACATGGTGCGTTTCAAAGAATTCATCAAAGATCAACAAAACAACCAGTTGTTGTACTCATTTAAAGATACCTAATCAGTAAACGGATGTTACTAAACAGCGTTGTTGCTAAGTACGGAATTAATTCTAATCAAGTCTAAGCTTTACATAGATGGACAAGATTTGAGTGGCGCTCAAGGTGTGAAAAGTTGAAGAAACAGAACACACAAATGTGGAACGTCGCATCATAAATTGAAACTTTAACAAAATTAAATAATTTAACCGCAATCTTCGTCGCTGTATAACCTAGTGGAATGCTTGCAGTTGAAGCCTCCAGTTAGGCTATTATGCCTTATCTTACTCATCTCTGTCACTTTGGTCTTACAGCTCACTTGACATTAGAAACAACCACTTCCTCTATCATGTCTTCGACTCTCATTGCACAATATTCAGCCAGTCCCAACGCTTCTACTTATCTTATCGCCATACTTAACAATATCTCACCTTATCACATGTATATACGAAAATCGCCTCAGGGGTCAAAGGTATGTTTACTTAGGACAATTACCACAAGCAGGCCACATGCAGAGCTTGATTGCCACATCCTTGTCTGGCCCATTCTTTTCCTTGCATTCCACTACGGTCAGACGAGTAGTAGCTGATAACATGAGTGGTGGTGGGGACGTAGTTGTTTTTTGTACTATAATAATTCCATGCTCCATGGCCATGACTGCAGTACTGTTCAAGCTTTAGTAGCCAAGTACTGACAGTGCCACCACGTTCAGGTAGAGCGGCTAAACCCAGTTGTGTGTGTCTTCGTAGCTTTGTGTTCTTCATACTCAACATCTTCAAAGTTTCCATATCGGAAAGTGCATCGATTGAAACAGTGAAAGTTCGTATACCACATAAATCAGATACAATGAAGATCCAAACTAGCGGCGGCGATCAAATTGAGGTGGACCGAAGTTCCAATTCTTGGGCCATGGTGCAGCAGATTTGCCAGCAGGTGGGCCAGGAAAACGCGTTCTACGTTTGCAACCTCAGTTCCATTCTGGAGAAGCACAAAGGCTGGCAGGCGGTCATGCCAAGAGTCGAGCCGCATTATGGTAAGAAATCTTCAGCAGTTCCACATTTCGTCTACATGTAAAAATTCGCTTCTTTCTCAGCTGTGAAGTGCAACAACGACTTGGCAGTTCTGGAAATCCTAGCGACTCTCGGCGCGTGCTTCGACTGTGCGTCTAGGGCGGAGATCAGAAAAGTCTTGTCGCTGGGCGTGTCTCCAGATCGCATTATTTTTGCCAATCCTGCGAAAATCAGCAGCCACATTCGGTACGCCGCTGATGTTGGGGTGGCCACAATGACTTTCGATGACGTGTGCGAACTCCACAAGATCCAAAATCTCTATCCTAGTGCGAGGTAAAGAAATGTTAAGGACTCTACTTGCCTCAACCAAAAAAACTCCTATCTTGTTCAAATACTGTGGCCTGATATTTGGGTTCTCGATATTTCAACAGACATTTTTCGACACTCTGGGCATCCGAAATTTGAAATCAATTTTCTGGCTCACTCCTCACAGGTGGAGTAATTGGCGTACTTTACGTTCCAGGTTGGTGATCCGGATCAGAGTGGATGCAACTGATGCCCAATGCCCTCTAGGGATGAAGTTCGGGTGCGAACCAAACGATGCTCCCCAACTCTTAGATGTGGCTCGCTCTCTCAATCTGAACGTGGTGGGAGTCAGCTTCCATGTGGGCTCTGGATGTAGGGAACCGGCAGTCTTCCGACGCGCCATTTCTGCAGCCCGTGATGTCTTCGATTACGCCTCCACTGTGGGCTTCAAGTTCTCTTTGCTGGACATTGGAGGCGGATATCCCGGGGTACGCGGATCATCCCTCACAGATGTAAGTAACCTGAGGTAACAATTTTCGGTCTCACTGTCAATGTTCGGCCTCCTTCTTGCATGTTTCTTATCGGTTCTGGCGAACTTTTCCTGTACCAAATCCTCAAAACACAAATGTTTGGATTGCAGATTGCCGCGGTGGTAAACAACGCCTTGGAGGACTTCTTCCGCGATATGGACGTGCGTGTTATTGCCGAACCCGGCAGGTACTATGTGACTTCCGCGTTCACATTGGCCTGCAACATTCACTCAGTCCGCAAAATAACCGATGTGGACGATCAGGGCAGAAGATTCGAGACGCACCGAATGTACTACATCAACGACGGCGTGTACGGAAGTTTCAATTGCGTGCTATACGATCATCAAGTGGTCTGCCCGGTGCCACTTAAGGAGTATCCAGAGAGCAGGAGAATTTCCAGCAGCGTTTGGGGCCCCACATGCGACGGTCTCGACCGCGTTATTGAAGACATCTCGCTTCCCGACATGAATATTGGGGACTGGATGGTGTTTGAAGACATGGGCGCCTACACTCTGCCGGTTGCCAGCACCTTCAACGGCTTTCCAGTGCCGGAAGTCTGCTACATCATCAAACAACACGAATGGTAGGTAAAGCTATTGTATTTGAAGCTGGTTATTGACTAGGGATTTTGCAGGGCTCAATTGAAAAATTTTATTTCGCTGTCCAGAGCGGAGCTTGAGGTAATCGAAGAGCCCAATGCGGCTGACGAGGAACTGTTTTGTCTGAAGATACCGTCGAACCTCAACGCGCCGTTGGCCTCAGTGAAGAAGCCCGAGGCGTTCGCCACAATCTGCTCCTCCGACCTCATGGTGGGATGAACCCATTCCATTTCATTTTTAACAAACTGATACACTTGACTGGCTTTGATGAGGGGAACAACACAATGGGAAAGACAATTTAACAATAGTTATCAATTATTTCTACTGTATTTAAATAAAGGTTTCGACGAGTTTCTTTCTATTAATTAAACCTTTACCCAGTGTACAGGGCAGGGTCTCCCTGAAATGGCAACGTTTTACTATCAATTCAAAATTCATTCCTGGGTTTCAGTCGTTTATTGTCTCTATTTATCAATTAAAATACGTTTCGGTGTATTTTTCCACCATCATCAGTTTTTATGTGTAGCGTTGTTGCTGCTTTAAGCCTTGGCATACATTTTCTATGAAGAGAAATTGATAAATAGAGACAATAAATGACTGAAACCCTGGAATGAATTTTGATTTGGAATTGCAACACAGTCAAGAAAGTATATACAATTTACTATCAATTCTACTAACCATCCGACAGCGTTACAGTCATTGCAGGGACACCCTCTATAAATTAAGAATTGAAAAACCGAGGTGTTCAGGTTGAATTAGAACAGATTGAAGATTTGCTCGACCAACATCGGACCCAAAAAACCACCAAAAAGTTGCGAAATTCCAGTCAACCACTCGAAAGTGTAAAAATACTCTCGATTTTAGAAAAAAAACTGTAAAAAGCTGTTTGGCCCATGAGGGGATCGAACCCGCGACCTTCGCGTTATTAGCACGACGCTCTAACCAACTGAGCTAATGGGCCACATGATATCAGTGCACCAAAATCCATATTAAAAGTGCATGCAATACCAATGATTAAAATTGAAATTGTTTTCAGAATAATTTTAAAATAAAAATCTTTTAATTAATAACTTGCTACTTACCAGCTAGGCCGCACACTAACAATCTGGAGAATGGTCTAAACATTAAACAACAGTTTAATTTTCAAAAGTTGAAATATGATTGATTTCTGAACTTTTCATTTCTAACTGGGTTCTTTTGGGCGCAAATTCGGAAAAGCAGTACTGTATTTATCGGGTTTTTCCCCAAAATAAACCCCAAGTCTTCGAAATTTCGTTTCGGTGACACATCTGTTGACAGTGATATGTCTGTATCCATGACAACCAGGAGTGCGTTCATAAACAAAAGAAGCGACTAGATAACTGGTTTATCCGTCAATGTGGTTTCACTTTGTTTCTAGTCGCTCTTTCCCTCTTACAAAAGACCTTCTCTTTCCTTGTCTGATGTAATTGTATATGAATGCCCTGACCTGAGCCCCAGTCAGGCGTTGATTATGAACACTCTCCTGGTACCAGCCAACAAACAGTTTCAAAATTTCACTAAATTCCCTTTATTTTGGAAACTCTCTCATTTGGGAATAGATAGAACATATTGGTGTCAACAACGCTGAATAAAATATCTAATAAATTTGACTGAAAATAAACTAATGGTTTAAATTGAAAACAGTAGTTTCAGTCAATTGAAATATTTGATCTTGCAACTACAACTGAGCAGCTAGCAATGCTTGAAAGTGAGGAAAATAGAGCCCATTTCTTCCTCTAACAGCCGGCGAAAAAAGCAGGTTGCTACCGCTAACAGTTCCTGAGAAATTAGCTTTCAAAACACCCTTTGCAAGCGCAATTTTTCGCAAGAAAAACTCAATTGCCCGTCTATGCAAGCACAGAAACAATAAAACCTTCTCAAACAAGTAGAATTTTTGCAAATTAACCATTAAGCCTGCCACTCAATTGATCAAATCGACGTCCCTTCGATTGATGCGAGCGACGCCACTGTGGCCAATAAACCTCCGATGCAAAAGTGAAAAATAGCGCCAGAAAAACGGCTGAATAGAATTTCTTTTTGGTCAAATGACCCAATTGAATGCGAACTAATCAGACATAAGAACTCAGCAAGGGTGCCGTTTCCTTGTAATCCGAACCAGCGGCTTTATTAATTGAAGTCGCCATTTGATTCCGCCAGTTACCAATCAAATTTGATTATTTTGCGGGAAATTGACCGAATCAACACACACACGTGGAGAATTATTTTCGACTTGGCGAATTTTGCTTAAAGAAGTCGCCTGATAAGTTAGAGAAAGAGTTTAACCCACAACGTTTCATAAGGCATTTTCTAATTAAAATCTTTGCTTCTTAAGTAAACAATGCCAGCTGGTTAAAGTAGTTGCCTCCAATTAACTGATGCAAATGTTGCAAATGAAAATTGCAACCGAGGGTTTGCAACTTTTGCGGAAAAGTTCATTTAAACGCCGAGTTTCTCTCGGTTTGTAAACGTACGCACCTGCAAACTCTCAAATAAAAAATGGAAACTTCCAAAGCGAAGCCAGTAGAAAGCTGAAAAATTGACACCTTTTAGAAGACACCCGAGTCCTCAAATCGTCAAAAATTCATTCAAATGGCACTAAACTTCCGAATTTTTCGCGCTTCGTAAACGTGGATTTAAAAATGAACGGTTTTACCCAAGTGCCGACTCTCAAATAAAAATTCCAGCTTCCAAAGTAGCAGCTTGAAAATTTGCTAATCTTTAGAAGACACTCGAATCTTCAGGCCCTCAAAAATTCGTTCAAATCGCAATAAATCCTGATTTTTGCGCGTTTCGTAAATGTTGAATCAAATAAAAGATCTAATTTCCAATCTAGCACCAGTAGGGCCAGAATTCCCAAATCTTCAAGCTACTGTTTATTCAGAATGATGAAATATGAATTAATTAATTATAAATAAAATAAACGGAAAAAATACATCAATAAAATGTGAGAAAATGAGCCGAACGGTCGCCAGTCAAACCACTTAAAGGAGTTAATTTGGTGCAAGAACGATTTGCGCGATATCCTGGAAGGCTCTTGAGCGTATAAAAGCCGGAAAATGTCGGAAAATGTCACTTAAACCTCGAGAGCGACGCGCTAAGTAAGCAGTGTTGGAACGAGAAGAACGGCACTATTGGTGTCGCTATCCTTGTCCTGGTGGTGTAGCTGCTGTCATATTTTTGGACATTTAACAGCCGGGCGTCCAAAAAGGTAAAAACCATGGTTTGTTTACTACGACAATTTTAAAAAGTAAAAATACATTTGCGTCTGTCATTTCTATATGATCTGTCACTGTCAAAATATGTTCTTGTCAATGCCTAGCAGTTTCCAGTATTTATTACTTTAACTGGAGTTTAACTATTGATTAATGATCGTTTTTGTTGAGAAAATAGGTGGAATTTGAACGGAATCGCGCTTTTGAAAAAGTGTAAACATGAAAAATTTACGTCAAAATATGCCCGGACAATGACATTGACAAGAAACTGAAAACATGACATTGGCAATATTATCAGAGCTATTAATCGTAAAATTTTTGCTTCTTACATGCGAATAAAAAATGATGATAGATACAAAAGCGAAAACACATTTTTCAAACTAATTTAATTGAAAGAATATTTAAAAAAGTTGTTTCCGCCCGGGATCGAACCGGGGACCTTGTGCGTGTGAAGCACACGTGATAACCACTACACTACGGAAACTATTTTAAGCCTTGTCTATAACCAGGACTGAACACAAATAATATTGTTCAATTCCTATTTTTTCACAATTCATTAACTTTAAATTGCGATTTTATTATCACTGATTAACAATTTCACAACACAAGCGCAGAAACGGTAAAAATGGAACATGGTTTTGCACGGTAAATTCACGACAATTTGCGAAGGCGCAACCAAAGCAAGTTATTAATGTAAAGCGCAGTCGATCCACATCAAGAGCAAAACGTAGGTGATTTCGAATTCATACACTTCCCGATCTCGTGACATTGATGACAGTTGATTTGCTTTACTTTCAATTCTTCTGGCTTCTAACACCTTTCAATTTTTCAAAATTTTCAATATTTTTAGAATGTTCAAATTTGAGAATTTTCCAGTTTTGGCTAAGTTACTTTATCTTCTAAATGCTAAATTTTCGAAAGTTTCACTTAAAAATGCTGACAATCTTGAGGTATTCGTCGCTTTGTAAAAAGTTTTGAAATCCCTTTCCAGCTTCGAGTTTCAAACAAGAAAAAAAAATTATCAAAAAACGAACAGAATAAGCGAAAGTTTATAACAGATTATTTGAAAATCTCACCTCCATTCCTCTGAAGACTATAGAATTTGTTAAAAAATAAATAAAACACATTCCTTCCGTTTTTTTCCGAAAACCATTAAGGTTTTCTTCAAAACCGATGATAAAACTAAGTTTTCAATCAAAAACACAAAAAAGCATTATTTTCTGATAATTTTCCTCTTTTCGGACAATAATGGGGCCTTTTCAGCCAAAAATTACAAAACTAATTTTGCTAGAGTGTTCGCCTTATTCGTCGGTTTGCAGAGAACTTTAGAAAACCCGTTTCAGCTTCGAATTTGGCACAAAAACCAAATAATTTTATTCAGCTTTTCCGAAAATGATTAGGATTATCTTGAAAAACACGACCAGAAAGCAAAAGTTTACAAAAAACTGTTTGGAAAACTCGCCGCCCTCATCGCTCTGAAGATTTTTAAAGTTCCGTTGAATTTTCAGGTCATTCCAATCTTAACAAAGTTTCTATCAAGCAATTTTTTCTTCGCAAAAATCCTATAATTTTTCAGTTTAACTTTTTTTTCGACCAAATAGTTTCAAGCAATCGTACGCACAAAAGCAATATGTTGATGGCTTTTTTTTGGCTTATAACTAGTGATGGGAACTATCGAATAAATACTATCAAACTATTCGATAGTTGTAATTTATGCGTATTATTCGATAGCGATGTTTCATTCAGTGACAAAAACTATCGAGTTCAAATTCAACAAATTCAAATTTTAAATAAATTAATTTTCCACTTTTTAAGCAAACATATTCAATAGTCATTTATTAATACTGTTTTTTTAATCAAAAATTAATTGATTAAAAAAGTGTTATATCTATATTTGCATTTTGAATAACTACCTATGTACTATTAGCAACAGGCTTAAATACAACTCATTTGTAGAGTTTTTACTATACTATTTCAAGAAAAGTAGAAGATAACATAAATATGAATTCTCATCATTCCTGGGTTTCAGTCATTTATTGCTTCTATTTATCAATCAAAATACGTTTCGGTGTACTTTTCCACCATCATCAGTTTTTATGTGCAACGCTACCTATAATG